AAGAGAAAATTTTGATAAGATCATAAAATTAATTTACTAAATGCATCGACATTTATAGTGAAAGAAACTGGGGAAAACGGGTGCGGTCCCACTAACATGAAGCGCACCAAAGCGGAGAAAGCCCATATGAAGCCCAAATGAGGTTCCATCCCAAAACCAATTGGTGGAAGGAGGAGTAGCCCATTAGACTTATAAGGTGAGTCTATTTTCCATGTATGAACGATGTGGGACAACTCACAAGTGATATTCTAACACGTTCCCTCATTTGTGAGTTCTTCGAAAGCCCAAACCTCAACTGAGCTGGGTGACGGGTACGTCATTGCACAGTCACCAATAGAACCGGCTCTGATACCATGAAAGAAACTGGGGAAAAACAGGTGCGGTCCCACTAACATGAAGCGCATCAAAGCGGGAAAAGCCCATATGAAGCTCAAATGGGTTTCCATCCCAAAATCAATTGGTGGAAGGAGGAGTAGCCCATTAGACTTATAAGGTTGGTCTATTTTCCATGTACGAACGATGTAGGGCAACTCATAAGTGATATTCTAACATATAGTATATATTTTGGGGGTTTATTGCACCAAATATTTCTATATTATATTAAATCTCTGCGTTTTCTCCCTGTAATTTAAAAATTGCGTCAAAACCCCTTGTATTGTACTTTGGCTAGTTGACTCTCCTCAACTTGTGTCTGGGTGTTAACGTTGACTTGTGTCTAGCCTTTCGATCACACAGCAAATGCACAACTCACTATATATGAGTCATCATAGTGTTCGCGCATAGCAAACAAGCAAAGCGCTCTCACACACATGCATAAAGTAAATTTCAAGGGAACATGTTTACGGAAATGACCAACCAACAAGCTTATAATAACTCAATAGCAATTCTGGAAAATGCCAAGGCTTGCACACAACTCGCGCATTCTTACTCGTATCTACGCTTGTGCAGCTCATATATACTTGGAACTAATGAAGTGCAACCTGAAGGCTGACCTCAACTGGCCCCAGGTGGAGATCGAGCCTGGATACAGAGAATGATACCACCTTTGCGCCTTGGCCCCCAAGGTGAATGAGAACATGCGACATCTAATGGTATCT